ATCTTGCTTGGTAAAGAAGTGGTGGTGGTGACTATGTGCTGTGGAGGTGGTTCCAACACATAGTGACCCTGTACAGGGTTTCCGAGGCTGTAAATCTTTATAGGAACAGAAAGCCTCATCTTTCTCCCATGGAACAGCTGGTAGTTTCGAATTGCTGACCTTGTGGTTTGCAGCCCGATTCATAACCACTACGCTACCAGAGCTCCTTTGGTAAAGAAGTAGGTAAACAAATAAGAGTAAGACCTTCAACAAGGTGGCTGTAACAATAGGCTGAGGCATAACAATTGTGAGGATAATGCAGAACCAGGAAGTGTTTTGCTCTATTTTGCAAAGGGGTAACTATGAGTCGGAACCAACTCAACAGCACCTAACAACACTCCAAACACCCACTGTCACTGAGTCAATTCTGACTCATAGTGTCCCTAGATAGGGGTCCCGGGACTGTAAATCTTGTTAGTAGCAGACAGCCCCATCTTTCTCTTGTGGAGTGGCTGGCGGGTTTGCTAACAACCTTGTGGTTAACAGCCCAATGTTTAACCTTTAGCACCACCAGGGTTCCTAACAACAAAGAATATTTATTTGAACCCCTATATGGCCCCTGGTAGCGTAGTGGTTACAAATCGGGCTGTGAACCTCAAGGTCAGCAGTTCTAAACTACCAGCTGTTCCGCGAGAGAAAGATGAGGCTTTCTGCTCCCATAAAGATTTACAGCCTCAGAAACCATGTATAGGGTCACTATGAGTCGGAACCGACTCCACGGCACACAACCACCACCACATGGCTCCTGCAGTCTTTCTAATCCCTCTAGAGCCTTTGCTTTAAAAAAACAAAAACAAAAACAAAAAACCACATGACAGGCTTGCAGGTGTACCCTTTGGTTGATTGGTTGATTAATGATGTATGGAAGGGATTGTAACCATGGCAATGAAACGATATATATACCATAGGATGAATGTAAAGCTAATGTTCTCCCATGTAAACTTTCACATAATTCACAATAAAACAGTTTTTTCAAAAAAGCACATGAGGCTTTTATTTGTAAAGAAAAAGTCAGAACATGAAGTGCAAATACTCTTTGCCTACTACATTCTTGGCTCACTGTCACCTATCTCTAAGGTCCAGTTCCTCTCTGGCCTTTCCCTCCTCAAATCTATCCATATACTGTGCACACTCCACATCTCCACTGTATCAAGAGTGCCCTGACTAAGGGCAATGCCTACAAGAATTAATGGTCTATCCACATTCCTCTGAAATGTTGATGTTTCCTGGTGCTACATTTTTAACACGTATTTGACCTGCATCATGCTTTTAGCATCAACCATGAATAGTTGCTAATACATGTTGCTGTTAAGTGTGGATCAAACCAACTTTGCAGGCTAGCTCATCAACCCACAGCACACACCACACCAGGACTGCAAAGTAGCATAGTACATAGAACCTTATATTTTTAATAAAATAATAGTTTTGAAATGCATATCAATTCTCATGGATTTTTTAAATGAGTTCATTTATTCATTCAGCAAATATGTAGTGAGTATGTGACATGTCCCCAGGCTCTATGTGATACAATGGAAATGCTAGGTGCCTGTAACTCAAGGTAAAAAGAAAGAAGTGCAACAGATCTTTGCAAAGAGCGAGCCTAGGAAATGATGGGTCCATTGCACCAACTGGCCAAAGTGGCAGGTAGACAAGTAAGAATAAGGCAGACAGAACAATGACATGAAACAGCTACTGAATAGACGGTCCCTTCAAGAGAAGACTGAAGTCACACGCTTTTGCAACACAACTTCTAGGACTAGAGAGATAAACAGAAGACTCATCTATGGGAACCAGGGAACTAAGGACATTAACCTCAAAAGGGTAAAAATACAACAGGAAGCTATTACTAGGCTTGCAGCTGCATTGAGAAAGTAAACTGAAAGTTGTCTTGTGGAAATACAGCTCAACATTTTCAGAACTCCTGTTTATTAAGGAATTCTGATTATTCTCTGAAATCTCATTTTTTAATATAGCTAATTATTTTTAACTGTGATAAACAAACAAATCTACTGACCATACAAGTATGCTGATGAATGCAGTCCATGTGAAAGGAAACTGGGAGGGATAAAAAAGCACAACTCATCAGAGTGGGTGTGAAATGAAGATTAAGCTAACAAAACAGACTCCCAAGACAGTCAGGCAGCAGTTAGAATGAGATGGTTTCTCAGGATAAGTATGAGACAGGTGAGGTTTTAACAGCATGGCCTCCTTATTCTGACATTTCTAGTTCTCACGGTAACATAATGGGTTATGAGTTGGACTTCTAAATGAAAGGTCAGCAGATGAGGCTTTCTGCTCCCATAAAGACTTATAGCCTCAGAAACCCTATACAGAGTCACTCTGAGTCAGAACCTACTCCACAGTACATAACTACCATCATGGTGGCTAAGGATGCTCCCAGGCAGGGCTAGGTTCTGAACAAAGAGGAGTCCATTGTCTTCCTTAGGTTTATCTTGCTTAAGCTAAATAGAAATGTTTATCATCTTCAAAGTGAGTCAACAACTACAATTTATCTCAATAGCATCAGTTCATATTCCTACACAGATAATGAAAGTTTCTGGGGCTTTGGGTTAGTACAGCATCACATTTTATCACGTTGATAGTCCCATTTCTATTTTTTTTTTCTTAGGGTTACTATATTTAATTTTAATTATCACACATTTTTACACACAACACAAACTTATCAACATCTCCCTTTTACAACCTATTTTAGATTTTAAAATAATTCATATTTCTGATAAATGAGAATACTACGGGACTACAATCACTACCTAAATTCCTTTGGATCAAATGTACTTGTATTCAGAAAATTTCAGGTTTTACAAATGAATATAGCATTGTTGTTGTTGTTGTTGTTGTTAGGTGCCATCGAGTCGATACCGACTCATAGTGACCTTTTGCACAGCAGAATGAAACACTGCCCGATCCTGGGCCAACCTCACTATTGTTGGCACTCTTGAGTCCATCGATGTTGCCACTTGGCCAATCCATCTCGTTGGGGGGTCTTCCTCTTTTTCTCTGATCCTCTACCTTACCAAACATGATATCCTTTCTCCAGTGACTGGTCCCTCCTGACAGTATGTCTGAAGTATGAGAGACAAAGTTTGGCTACCCTGGCCTCCAAGGAGCACTCTGGTTGCACTTCTTCCAAAATGGATCTATTGATTTGTTTGGCAGCTCATGGCACTTTCAATATTTTCCTCCAACACCATAAATCAAATGTATCAATTTTTCTACGGTCTTAATATACCATATATTAATATAACATTTCCAGCAGGGAATAGGTAGCCTCCATAATTACATTTCTATTTCTGGGGTAAAGATGAACAATCACATTGCTGTTGTTGTTGTTGTTGTTAGATGCCATCGAGTTGGTACCATCTCATAGTAACCTTATGTACATCAGAACGAATCACTGCCTGGTTCTGTGCCAACCTCATAATCGTTACTATGGTTGAGCCCATTGCTACTGCCACTGTGCTTATCTATCTCACTCGGGGTCTTCTCTTATTTTGCTGATCCTTCAGTTTACCAAGCCTGATGTCCCTCTCCAGGGACTGGTCCCTCCTAATAACATGCCCAAAGTAGGAAAGAACAAATCTGGCCATCCTGGCTTTTAAGGAGCATTCTAGCTATACTTCTTCCAACATTGATTTGATTGGTCTTTTGGCAATCCATGGTACTTTTCATATTCTCTCCCAACACCATTAACTCAAATGAATCAATTCTTCTACAGTCTTCCTTATTCATTGTCCAACAAATGGTGTTGGGGGAGAATCTTCACAACTGGACCAATAAGCAACATCATGGTACATGGAACAAATGTTGAAGTTGTCAAGCATTTCATTTTATTTGGATCCATAACCAATGCCCATGGAAGCAGTAGTCAAGAAATTAAACAACTAAACACTAAACCTATTTCACTAGGCAAATAGACTGCAAAAGACCTTTTGAAAGTATTAAAAAGCAAAGATGTCACCTTAAGGACTAAGGTACATAGGAACCAAACAGCCATGATATTTTCAATAGCCTCACTGGCATGTGAAAGCTGTATAATGAATAAAGAAGACTATAAGGGAATTTATGGCTTTGAATTATGGTGTTGGTGAAGGATATTGAATATTCCAGACTGCCGGGAGAATAAACAAATCTATGTTGGAAAAAATACAGCCAGAATCCTCCTTAAAAGGGAGGATAGCAAGACTTGGGTGCACATACTTTGGACAAGTTATCAGGAGGGACCAGTTCCTGGAGAAAGACACCATACTAGTTAAAACAGAGGCAACAAAAAAAAAAGGGACAACCCTCAATGAGAGGGACAGGCATAGTGACTACAACACTGGGCTCAAGAATAGTAACAAATGTGAGGATGGCCCAAGACTGGGCAGTGTTTCCTTCTGTTGTATATAAGGTCAATATGAATTGGTACCCACTCAACAGTACCTAACAATAACATTCAAACACTTATGGATGGAGACATGGTTTATATGGGCTTCAGAAGACTGTGATACATAATATAGTTTGTGGGAATGTGCCATGCACCATATAGCCAATATACTTAATTAATTTTATAAGAAACTAAAACTGATGTAGGAACTTACATATTTTCTTTAACAGATTAACTCAGTAAACTGATATAAAACTTATACTTCTATATACTAAGTAAGGCCCAAGACCAGGCAGTGTTTAGTTCTGTTGTACATAATAAGGTCGCTATGAGTCAGTACCGACTCGATAGCACCTAACAACAACAACAATATATACTAAGCTATAATCAACAGAACTATGAATAATTTCTATGTATACCCTAGATTTTTCTCTTTTAATTCTAAGTGATAACAAAAAATTAATTCCATTAACCCAAGGCCAATTCTATAAGACAGGAAAGCAGAGGGATGACAGGAATATTATTATAAAACAGTATCAACACAGAAAGCAGCAAAGGAAAATTTGTCTCCTACCTCTGCTCGACCCTCATAGTAGGTTAACATGGACTTTGTAAGAACAAAAAGTCTCTCCTTGTAATTTAAGGGTGATGTCTTCTTCTTCTGCTGTGACCTTTTAATAAGAATCTCTTCTAGAATAGTGTTCAAATTCATCTCGGTCTGATCACTCCTTCTCCTGCCATTGAAAATCCCAGTATTCTAAAGAGAGAAAATAAATAGTTAAAATAGCATATGACCTACGACACTGCCACTTCAGATGACTAAAATAGGCTTGACCCTAAGTACAGCTGGAGTAGATGAGTGTTACTTCTAGCACCTGGATTAAGAATGCCCAGGGCCTGAAATTTCAACCCCCTCTCCCTTCTGCTCCTTCATATCCCGTAAGAAAATCTCATCAATATTGGCTGTGATGATGATCCACTCTTTTGCATTCCTTAGCTTTCTGGTGCATTCAGCTTCTACAATTTGACTACAGAGAAACAAATATCTCAAATAGAAAAATAGATTTCATCATAAGATGGTATTTAAATCACTTCAGGATTTTGATAAACAAAATAAAAGGATGACCACATTGACAAGGTCGATTTATGAACAGAGCAAATTATGACACTGGTGGATATCATTCAAACTCCAGCTGTGATAAAGTAGTCACCTCGAAACATCCTGGTCACCAGATCACAGGAAGCTCTCTGACATGGTCTAAACTGCCTTATAGCTCCTGCTCAACCACAAAGAAAAGGAAACCCACCCAATTACAGCTAACCCTATTCAGGGCAGTGCTTGTCTGGATAAGATATTTAACCTTGTATATGGAGTCCCTTACTTGTTTATGTCAAGAAATTTGAAAGAAAATTACCATGCCATCAACTAGAAGAGATCCATATGCATGCCCATTCCAAAGAATGGAAAATAGAATGCAGAAGTTTTAAAACAGTATCATCAGTAACACATGCTAACAAAACTATGACAAACAAAATAACCATAATCATACATCAACAGAGAACTGCCAGTTCAATCTAGATTCAGAAGAGGATAAGGAATGAGGGATAGCATTGCTATTGTCAGATGGATCTTGGTTGAAAACAGAGAATGCCAGAAAAATGGATGCATGTTGAATTGGGCAAATATTTGCTGCAAAATATCTCTTAAAAGTTTTAAAAAGAGAAAATGTCACTTACATGATTAAGGTTTGCCTGATTTAAGTCACGGACTTTTCTACTGCTTCAGGTGCATGGGAACGTTGGATAATGAAAAAAGGTTTGACAGAGAACGGATGTATTCAAACTGTGAATTCTGTGTGTGTTGAATATACCAGCGAAGGTCAAAAGAACAAACAAGTCAGGCTTTGAAGAAATATACCCATGTTTCTTAGAAGCAAGAATGATGAAACTTCAAATTGCTTACGCTACCTGCCCACACCATTAGGAAACAGCAATTGCTGGAAGGGGACACCGTGTTTGATAACGTGGTAGTGGTTCTGTTATCTGGAGTCAGTTCCCACACAGTGATCCTGTACACAGTTTCTAAGACTAAATCTTTAAAAGGAGCAGAAAGCCTCCACTTTCTCCTGCAGAGCAGCTGATAGATTCTAACTGCTAACCAGTGGTTAGCAGTCCAAGTCATAACCTACTATGCTATCAGGGCTCCTTGTGTGATAAAGTTGTTGTTGTTGTTGTTGTTGTTGTTGTTAAGTGTCATCAAGTCGGTTCCAACCCATAGCATCCCTTATGGGGTTTCTGAGGAACAGCTGGTGAGCTGTTCAACGGCTTGGCAGTTCAAACAGATTTTCAGTCTGGCGCATTAACCCACAGCGCCACACCAGGATTCCTGTGTGATAAAGTAAAGGGCCAATAAAAGCAAGGCAACTCCTCAATGAAGAGATGGGCTGACACAACAGCCACAACAATAGACTCAAACATATCAAAAATCATGATGAGAACACAGCACCAGGCGGCATTTCATTCAGTTATACATACAGTCCTCACGAGTCAGACTGGACACAGCAGCAACTAACCATACAACCTCCAAACTATTCAGACCTTGACTAAGTCTCTTAAAACTAAACAAAACCCAAGAGATGCTCAGAGAAAAATTTTTAACAGGTTGAATTGCCTTTCCAACAGCCTTTTCTTCCCTTCCCTCCACCACACCCTTGCAAAATGCAAACCACAAAGACAAAAAGAAGCCACGTGGAGAGAATCAAGAATTGCTAGATAGCATAACCAAGGACTTGACTCTGAGCTTTTGAAAAATAGAATCAATTGCCAAGGAGTTGGCTCCCACTCATGGTGACCCCATCAGACAATGTTCTATCAATTTTCAGTGGCTGATTTCTGGGAAACAGATTGCTAGACCTTTCTCCCATGGTACCTCTGGGTCCTGGGAGTTGTTGTTGTTGTTGTTGTTGTTGTTAAGTACTGTGGAGTCGGTTCCGACTCATAGTGACCCTGCACAGGGTTTCCAAGGCTGTAAATCTTTACGGGAGTAGAAAGCCTCAGCTTTCTCCCGCAGAACAGCTGGTAGCTTTGAACTGCCAACCTTGAGGCTAGCAGCCTAATTCGTAACCATTACACTACCAGAGGTGCTATGTGTTAATGCTCTGGAACACAAAGTTGGTTTGAACCACAGCATTGGCAGTACAAGCTCACCAGCCGCTCCTCGGAAACCCTATAAAGGGTTGTTGTGGGTCAGAACCAACTTTATGGCACTTAACAACACAACGCCAACAACAACACCTCTGGGTGAAGCTGAACTCCAACCTCTTTATTAGTGTTTGCATCAACCAGGGACTTCTAACCTGAAATAATAGTACAGTGCAGTTAAGTACTTAATATTGTCCTTCAAGCCTTATCTCTCCATTTAATGATGTAAGTCCTGGCCTCTATGTCCTGGTGTAGTGCTGCTGCGGGTGGATGCACTAGACTCCAAGGTTGGTTTGAACTGGAAAATTGGAGGGTTTTAACTCTCCAGCAGCTCCTCCTCAGAAACCCTATACAGGGTTCCTATGAGTCGACAGCACTTAACCACCACAATGCCTGTGGTTATTTGAGAGGAAGTTGTCTGTTATGTTAATAGGCAAGATAAAGATGGGATGTACCTTGAGTCCTTACTTGAGGGTGTGACTCAAGTCACCACTCTTAGTTTCCTTGGGGGTGTGTCTGCATATATATATAATTTCATTTTCTTGCTCTGAATCCTGCATTAAGCTTGTCTCTGTCTGGCCTCCAGTTCTTGGGACTTACAGTTCATCACCTGGCCTGATTCATGAGCTTCCACAGTTTTATGGAATAGCCTGTTGTCTAACCTGCCAATTTGAGTTCCTCAGCCCCTACAATTACATGGGTGAAGAGAATCCTCCAGAGTGATTTCTGAACTAGTTATTTGGGACTTGCCAACCTCCACAAACTTGTGAGCCATTTCCTTGATGGTGCATGGGTTCTGTAAGACATTGCATTGAATTTCAGAACCCTGGGACATGAGGGAGAAAACTAAGGGGAGGAGTGGTGGATGATATCAAGGATTATGGAGTGTATGTTGTTTGTTGTTCTGTGCCATCAAGTCAGTTCTGACTCTGTATAGGCTTTTCAAGACTGTAAATATTTATGGGAGCAAAAAACCTCATCTTTCTTACATGGAGCGGCTGGCTAGCTTGAACTGCCAACCTTGTGGTTCGCAGTCTAGTGCTTATGCTATAGAGCCACCATGTTCCAAGAGTCATGTTGTTGTAAGGTGCAATCGAGTCAGTACCAAATCATAGCAACCCTATGCACAGCAGAACAAACCAGTGCCTGATCCTGGGCCAACCTCACAACTGTTGCCACACTTGAGCCCATTGATGCTGCCACTTGGCCAATCCACCTCGTTGGGGGTCTTCCTCTTTTTCTCTGACCCTCCACCTTACCAAACATGTTATCCTTCTCCAGTGACTGGTCCCTCCTGACAATATGTCCGAAGTATGACAGATGAAGTTTGGCCATCCTGGTCTCCAAGGAGCACTCTGGCTGCACTTTTGCTAACACAGATATGTTGGTTCTTTTGGAAGCCCATGGCACTTCAATATTCTCCTTCAACACTGTAACTCAAAAGCATCAATTCTTCTACGGTCTTCCGTATTCACTGTCTAGCTTTTGCATGCGTATGAGGTTATTGAAATACCATGGCTTGGGTCAGGAGCACCTTAGTCCTCAAGCTGACATCTTTGCTCTTCAACACTTTAAAAAGGTCTTGTACAGCCGATTTGCCTAATTAAATACGTCGTTTGATTTCTTTACTGCTGCTTCCATGAGGGTTGATGGTTGATCCAAGAAAAATGAAGTCCTTGACAACTTCAATCTTTTCTCCATTGATAAGAATGTTGTTTATTGGTCCAGTGGTGAGGATTTTTGTTTTCTTCACATTTGGGATATTCTTAGCCTCCACCTCCTAAGGAACAGCCTCATGAGAATCTTTTAAAATAAATTATTATTGCAGGTAGACACTGAGAAATTCTATCATCTTTCAGTCTAACACCTCAGAAGCATCCTTATAACTTTGTATTATTGATACATTGCCATCCATATTTTTTGTAAGATCACTTCAAAATAGTTTAACCTCTCAGCATCAGTTTCTTCATTTATAACATAAGGAAGTAAATGCCACAAGGTTATTGTGAGGTGTAAATGAAACATGGGAAAGGATTCTGTTAATTATAAAGATATTGTGCAAATGTGTAACGCTATTGTTTTCAATTCCACTGTCATCTTCCTGTCTCAGAGATTTGCAACCTAACATCTGTATCATGATAGTAGCTTTTTAATTGGTATTCCTTTCCCCAAGCCTTTGCCTAACTTATGGTGGCACTATGGGTTAACAATTGGGCTGCTAACCACAGGTCGGAAATTCAAACCCACCAGCTGCTCCGTGGAAGGAAGTTGAGACTGTCTGCTCTCGTAAAGATTTACAGTCTTAGAAATCCTACATACGGTTGCTTTGAGTTGGAATAGAATTGATGAGAATGGGTTTGGGCTTTTTTTAATCTCATCCTAATTGGGTCAGTCTTCATTCATCAGAAATCCCCAGTGTCTACCACCACTTCAGAATAAAATGGTTTGTCCACAATCTGGCTGCAACCTAACATCCAATCTTTACTTCCACTAGTCACCAAACACTGTCTACTCCAGTCAAAACAGCTGACTGAATGCCCAGTAGCTCCC